TCATCGGGGAAAGAACCGATGATGGAAGATCGTGCCAACTTATTGGAGCAAGGCAACTCGAGCAAGAGAAAGTCCCTTAACAAAGGGAAGCAGCCTGCCAAGGTTTGGAAGTTTACATGCACTTGCCACAACTGTGGAAAGCCAAACCATATGGCCAAGGACTGTAGGAAGCCTAAGAAGGCTGGACAAAAGAAGGCACAACCAAGTGCTCTTATTGCTGAACACGGCCCTGTGTTGGGTGAACTAACTGACTTTAATGTGTCGGCTGTGGTGTTTGAAGCCAATATGGTGGATAACCCAATGGAATGGTACATCGATACTGGTGCCACTCGACATGTGTGTTCCGACAAGGAGTTGTTTTCTAATTGTACTACTTCTACTGGTCAGAAACTCAACATGGGAAACTCCTCCACATCTGATGTGGCTGGAGTTGGCACAGTGGTGCTGAAGCTCACTTTTGGAAAAGAGTTGAAGCTTAAGGATGTTTTGCATGTCCCAAACTTCCGCAAGAATTTGGTCTCTGGATCTCTTCTTATTGAGCATAGATTTAGGCTGGTGTTTGATGCTAAGAAATGTATTCTTAACAAGTTTGGAACATTCCTTGGTCGTGGCTATCTCGACAAGAACTATTTAAAATGAATGTAATGGCTGTAAGCCGTGTAATCGTTTTCAGTGATAATGAAAAGTCTATTTCTGTTTATACCGTTGAGTGCTCTGACTTATGGCATATTAGATTAGGACATGTAAATCTAAATGCAATTAAACAGTTGATGAATTTAGAATTAATTCCTAATTCTAAAATAGAATCACATAAAAAACTGTGAAATTTGTGTTGAAGCAAAAATGGCTAAGTTACCTTTTCACTCGGTAGAAAGGAGTACTGAACCATTAAGCTTGATCCATACTGATATATGTGATATAAAAAATGTGCAAACAAGAACGGGTAAAAAATATTTTATTACTTTTATCGATGATTGCACAAGGTTTTGCTACTTATATTTGTTAAGAAGCAAAGATGAGGCTGTGGAAGCATTTAAAGTCTATAAGACCGAACTTGAAAATCAACTCGGCAAAAGGATTAAAATAATCTGAAGTGATATGGGTGGGGAGTATGTAGCTTATTTTGAACAAATATGTTCTGAATATGGCATAATTCATCAAACGACAGTCCCATATTCTTCGCAGTCAAACAGTGTTGCTGAACGCAAAAACTGAACTTTAAAAGAAATGATGAATGCCATGATGATTAATTCAGGATTACCACAGAACATGTGGGACGGGAAGATGTGTTAACAGCAAATCACATCCTGAACAAAATACCACCTAATGGAAAAAATGAGACTCCTTACGAAATGTGGAAAAATCGTAAGCCGTCTTATAAATACCTGAAAGTGCGGGGGTGTTTGGCTAAGGTTTCAGTACTTGAACCTAAACAAGTGAGAATCGAACCAAAGACGGTCGATTGTGTATTTATTGGATATGCGTACAATAGTACAACATATAGATTTCTGGTTCATAAATCAGAAAATCCAGAGGTATCTGTGGGTACCACGATTGAGTCGAGGAATGCTATATTCTTTGAGAACATTTTTCCTCTAAAAGAAAGGGCAGAATCTAGTTCTAATAAACAAACATATGAAACTACTAGTGGTTCTGTACCTGAGGGTACTAATAAAGAACCAAGACGTAGTTAAAGGATAAAAACGGCTAAAACATTCATACCTAATTTTATTACGTACATGTTGGACGATGAACTGAGTTCCCTTAAGGAAGCTCTGTCTAGCCCAGATGGACCACTCTAGGAAGAAGCTGTAAATAGCGAAATCGAGTCCATTATGCAAAATCATACTTAGGAGTTGGCTGATCTCCATGATGGTTGTAAACCTTTAGGATGCAAGTGGATCCTAGAGAGGAAATATAAAGCTGATGGATTGATTGATAAGTTTAAAGCACGATTGGTGGTCAAAGGCTTTAAACAAAAGGAAGGGTATGATTTCTTTGATACCTATTCACCTGTTACGCATTTAGCGTCAATAAGAGTGCTTTTCGCGATTGCTGTTCTGCACAATCTTGAGATTCACCAAATGGATGTCAAAACGACATTTTTGAATGGTGAATTGGAAGAAGAAATATACATGGAACAACGTGAAGGGTTTGCTGCACCTGGACAAGAGAGAATGGTGTGTAGATTAATCAAATCCTTGTACGGACTAAAACAAACTTTGAAACAATGGCATTTGAAATTTGATGACGTGATGTTGTAAAATGATTTCAAAATCAACGAATATGACAAATATGTTTATGTCAAGAGTAGATCAAATACATTTGTGATTGTATGTCTATATATAGACAATATGTTGATCATGGGGAGTAGCCATGAAGTGATCATGGATACGAAAAGAATGTTGAAGAGAAATTTTGACATGAAAGATATGGGTGTAGCTGATGTTATTCTTGGTAAGTATTATCAAAATCCAAGATGGAATTGTCTTGTCACAGTCTCATTATGTAGAGAATGTGCTCAAGAAATTTGATACCTATGACGGTGTACAGTCTAGGTGTAAGACACCCCTTGATCTCAGTATAAATCTGGTAGTCAACAAAGGTCAACCAGTGGCTCAGTTGAAATATTCACGGATAATAGAGAGTCTAGTGTACTTGACGAATTGTACTTGACCAGACTTGGCCTATCCGGTGAATAAGTTGAGCAGATTTACGAGCATTCTCGGTCATGAACACTAGAATGCTTTGAGAAGGGTACTTAAGTACTTGAGGTACACCCTTGAATACGGGCTAAAATACTCGAGATATCCAGCCGTACTTGAAGGGTACTGTGATGCAAGCTAGATATCAGATTCGAGAGATTCTCTTTCCACTAGCGGATATGTTTTCTATATTGGAGGAGGTGTAGTTTCGTGTAAATCCACAAACAAACGTGTATAGCTCGGTCAACGATGGAATCAGAGTTTATCACTTTAGATAAAGCTGGTGAAGAAACCGAGTGGCTTAGAAGTTTTTTATCTGATATTCCATGTTGGGATAAGACTTTGTCGCCTGTGATGATTCAATGTGATAGCCAAGCTACTACATGAAGAGCTCAAAGTAACTTATATAACGGTAAGTCTAGACATATTCATCGTAGACATAATATCGTACGCCAATTGATCACAAATGGTATTATTTCCATTGACTATGTGAAGTCTAAGGAAAATTTGGTTGATCCTTTGACGAAAGGATTGAATAAAGATTAATTGGGTAGATTGTTAGAGGGAATGAGCTTAAAATCCATAATGTAAAGAATGATCATAGTGGTAACCCTACCATGCTAAGAGGAGATCCCACGAACTTGGTTCAAAGGGAAAACTAAGCTATGAAAATTCAGTTGAACACTTGGAACATATGAATGTCCAAAGCTATTCCCTAGAGCATTCGAAGTGCAAGATTACCTGTTGATTGTGGTGAGGGTAAGTCATGTGGACTTTTAATGAATCTCTAACCTTGTAAAGGTAGAGTAATAAAGGTTACTCTTCATAGGGAGATCACCTATATAAGTGTGAAGTGCGGGCCGCTTCAAATGTAAACACTTATGAATCCAAAGTGTTGTCTGAAAGTACTGAAGATTGGCAGTAAATCGATAAATCTTCTGATGTTTGCAGAAACCAAAAATTTACGGAAGTATTTAAGGGAAGTTTATTTTTGGTATGAATAAGTCTTAATTTTAATTAAGTTCACAGGACTGATTATTTACGTTTTATTATGGCAGGACCTTGGGATTGAGGGGGAGATTCGATTTCCATATTCTAAAGAAAAGGAGAATCAGAAAATTCACCTTCCATAATTGTAAAAGGAGAATCGCGAGAGTATCATTCCTTATATGCGTTTGCCTTGGATAAGAAGATTTTCCAAAAAGAATGCTGAAGATAAAAGGAGGACGAGACCAGAGTTGAGGACGGCTTTTGACATCTTTTGTTTAGTTATTTTCTTTTCTTTTGGGAGTAAAAAAGAGTGATACTTAGAATATTTTGTAAAAGAACGTTCGGAGGTTCGTTCTTATAGTTTGAGGGATTCGAATTAGAAAATCCACAAGGGATTTGGGGTCAGATAAGTAGTTGTGTGAATCATCATTCAATTAGAGAGTAGAGGGAGTCTATACTGTAAACCCTTGGATTATGTAGTTGTTCACATTAATGAAAGAGATCTGAAGGGAGAGTGGGACGCTCTCCTGAAGATTCAATTTTTAGTGAAAAACTGCTTCCACAATTGTTTGAATCTTCATTACAGTCTGTTTATTCAATTTACGTGCAACTCTGGGTACTTGGTGGTCAAGTATCAAATTTTAATTGGCACAAGAGAAGGTTTTCATCTTCATTACGAAAGATCCTAGGACGTCAGTTTCCCCAAATCATGAATCAGGAAAGAGGATCGATGTCCAGGCCTCCGCAATTGGATGGTTCGAACTACTCATATTGGAAGTCTATGATGACAATATTTTTGAGATCGCTTGGAAAAGGCGTGTGGGAGAGTGTTGAAAATGTCTGGGAGCATCCAGTCATGCAACAAGCACCTGATCAAGGTAAAGAAACAACAACGAAAATCACGGTTTCTAAACCTAAGGACAACTGGATTGATGCTGAGAAGCTTCAAGAAGAAGACAACTATCGTGCCTTATATGCGATCATGATGGCAGTTGATCAGACAAGACACAAGATGATAGTACATTGCAAAACTGCTAAAAATGCTTAGAGGGTCTTACAGCGTCAATTTGAAGGTTCAACGACTGTCAAAGCGTCCAGACTTAAACAGGTAACTCTTGAATTTGATGAGATCAAAATGAGAGATGAAGAGACAATTGACGTATACTATGCCATATTTTGTGATCTGGTAAACAAAAGCATGATGCTTGGAGAAGAAATCTCTGAAAAACGTCAAGTTCAGAAGATTATGAGAACCGTTGTTCCCAAGTTTAGAGAGAAAATCACGGCTCTTGAAAGTTTTCAAAGAGTGGCGTCATTGGATGTTGATGAACTTCTTGGAGAGCTAAGAACTTTTGAAATCAACAACAATTATGACAAAGTGAAGAGTAAAGGCTTAGCTCTCAAAGCTGCTGTAGTCGAGGAAAGAGAAGAAAGCGATGATGATGAAGGTCCGTTGGCAGGTGATAGTGTGCTAAAGGAAGCACTAGCCTTAATCGCGCGAAACTATGGGAAGATGAGTCAAAGGCTGTACAAGAACAAATTTGCTAGAAAAAGGGGAACAGTTCAGCAAGAATGTAGTGCAGGACAAGAAAAGTACTATGCCACTCTCAAAATCCGATTCACAACGAGTCGAGAAAGATCGATGCTGGGAGTGTCGAGGCTTTGGACACTTCCAGATTGAGTGTGCTAATCTCAAGAAGAAGAATAAGTCACTGAAGGCAACCTGGGAAGACTCAAATGA